CCCCCCCATGCCGCCGCAGCACGCTGCCCCCGTCACGACGTTGCCGCGTTCGTCGGCGATGGCCCCAATGCCAGAAATGCGGCCAGGCGCAAGCTTGCACAACAATCGCGTGCCTCGCTGCCTCTTCCGCTGTATCTGGAGGCCGTCGCCTTCCCCAGCGTCGCCCTGAGCCTCCCCGAGCAGGCATAGCGCGGCCTCCCGGGCGAGTTCGACGGCACGCTCGCGGAGAGCACGAAGGGAGGCCGTCAAGTTTCCCGGTAGGTCGTCGGGGTTCACCACCAAGGAGGAGATGCGAGGACACTACAGCAGGCACTGCGAGATGTCCGCGAGCAGTCCCTGCTCCGACGCCCGGATAAACCGCATGACCACCCCATGCTGACTACCTACCAGGACCACCCGAGCCCAACCCGAAGAGCCGAGTTTGATCCGAATTTCGGGTTGGGGGGGGGGGGGCACGGATTCCATGTGTTTTTTTCAATGTTCCCCGACCCCCCCCCCACTGGAAATCGAGGGTAAATTGAGGCCTTCGGGTTGGGTTGGGGTGGCTTGGTGGGTGGTGACATGCTTGTCCTCCGCCCTTTTCCGCCGACGGGAGGCCCGCAGCGGGGGCGCCGAAGCTCTCGGCCACCGCCCGCGCTGCCCCTTTTCAGGAGAGGCAGCTGCTCCAGCTCCGATGCTCCAGGGCGGGCGCCAGGCCGCTCCTGGAAGGCCACCGCACGACGTCGAGGGAAATCTGGATGGGCGTACACCGGGTGGCCCTCCGTCCAGTGCTCATCCACGGAAGCCACTTGGCGGACAACTCTCCCCTGGCGAGCCCCGGCCTGGACGGCCCTGCGCCTTCTCTTGAGCCAGCTCTTCTCCGTCTTCGCGGCGGCTTGCTTGCTCTTGGCAGTCTTGCCCTTGAGCCTGCTGCAATACTTGCCTTTGTTCCTGGCGTTGCCAAACTTGGCAGACCAAGCCGCCCTCGCCCTCTGGATGAACTTATCCTCGTCGGCCTTCGTCGACCCAGCCACAGGCCGCCTCGTCGCGTCCAGTCTGACTGGGATGCGCCGGGCAGCCAGCACAGCACGCTGCGCCGACAGGTCGCGCTTCCACTCCAGCGCCACAACTTGCAATTCGCGGTCGATCTGCTCGGAAGTATGGCGGTTGAGGTACATGCGATCAAGCCGCGAGAATGCCGTGGCATACGTGTGCGTCATCTCGGGCTGGTAGAGCTCCTCGAACCCAAACCGCTGGCAGGTTGATAGCCCGAAGTTGCTCTCCTCCCCGTATTCACGGACGCCTGTGGACTGCTGCGTGGCCACGCACCGGCGGTCAGGCTTGAGCGCCGCCCAGTTGGAATCCCCGCACAGGAGCGTGAGCACCCGATGAGAGGGTTGGATGGCATTGGCCAGGCGACTCCAGAGGTGCCCTCGGAGGCGTGGGAAAGTCGAGCAATACTCCATCGCATCGGGGTGGACTCCGACCTTGTCTAGCTCGGTGACGGCCCCGCCAGTGTGAAAATACGAAACTATGATATCCAACGCTCCTGCAGCGCCTCTCAGAGAGAGGATCGCGGCCCGTCCAGGCCAAATGACGGTCCATCGAGGCTCGGTCGAGCTTCCGTGTAACATTGCTAAATCGACTACGGTTGCGGTTGTAACGTGGCGCCTGAGGCACATAGTTCAACAAATACAAGACAAGACAATAACAAAAACCGACTGACATGCAAGACAAGTTCGTAAGAGAATCTGAAGTCCAAGAGAAGTTCAGGCGAAATTCGAAGAAGGTTCAAAACGAAATGTTAGACATGACGAAAATTGGAAGATCAAGAGCAGTCGAAACTGAACTCAGCAAACTTAAGCGTAGTAAATTTGAAACAAGAACTTCAACATTCCAACATACACAATCGGAAACATAAAATTATGCTCGAACAGTTCAAACAACATTCTGACAATGCTCAAAGAAAACACACTAAACACAAATCCGCCGGCCCCCTTTTGGTGCCATCAGGCTTCGCGGCTTCGACTTGCTTTTCCCTGCTCCAGTTCCAGTTTCCAGTCTGCGATGTTACAACTATGTGTTGTGTTTCCTACTGTGAATTGTTGAAGTCCGCGCAAGGGGGGGAACCGAAAACCGCCCAGGTTACCTTCACCTGGGGGGGGGTCTCAGAACTTCTGAGGGGTCCTGGGGCACGACACCCGAGATTCCATAAACCCTCGCAAAAAATCGAATGCTCGCGCAATACTCCATCGTAAATTCACTATGTCTGCGTCCCCGAAGCCACGATCCCTGGCAAATGACGCAATCTTCGCGTCCCCGAAGTCGTAAACCCTCGTATACAGCACTCGCGCTTCCAAAGTCACAATTCTTCGCAAAAGGCGTTCCGAGACGGTGCAAGAGGCCTCCGAGACGGCCCAAGAGTGCCCCAAGGCGCCCAAGGTGGTCCCAAGAGGGCCCGAGAGGCTCCCAAGAAGGCTCCAAGCGCCGACGCTGCTCCACAACTGAACCCAAGTCTCACAACATAGCTCTTGCACACCCCATTCTCCGAGAAAGGGGGGGCGGCGGCAAGAGGCGAAGCCCTCACGGACATGTGCCAAAATCAAAAAAATCAGTGCGTTGAACTGTGAGCCCATACAATTCCGAATACGGGTCGTCCCCTGGGCTTTTTTTGACCGAAACCACCATCGGCTCAACCCTACAAGACTACGGTCAGTGTGTGTGTGTGTTGGTGTGGTTGGGCTCGTTGCTAGAGGATGGCTGATAGAATGGCAGTGGAACTGGAACTGGGAGTGTGACAACGTCACAGGTGCATTGACAATCGGCAATGCTTACAGCAGACATGCAATGCACCAGAGGACAAAGGCCGACCCTCAAAACGAGCTTTTGCGTCAGCTGGCCGTCTCCGTCTTGCTGAGAAAAGTTGGCCAGAGCCTTCGAGCAACTCTGGACATAGTGTCAAGTCCGTTGGGGATAAGGCGTCGCGTAGATGGTGAAGGATACGTGGATGCATAAACCTCCCTTTTTCGCGGACGACGTGAAGACCCATAATTTGAGAAGGACACGCCTTGGGCCCGTCGGCTGTGATCGAGGCGGAGCAGCACTCGTTCAAAGCGCGCACTGATGCTGATGATTATTGCGCAGCTTAGCAGCATCTGCGCCACATGGGGTTATCGGAGTTCGCTGACAGGGCGTACGCAGGACCCTCTACGTGGCGAGCTTCCACGTCTGACAAGGTTAGCACCCTTGATGCCATACAGTCGGGGCGTTGACGTAAGGAACCCTAAATAAGGAACGAGGCCCCTTGTTCCCATAAGTTTTGGTTCCCCATGGAACACGAAAGGAAAACCCAAGGCAAAGTGTACAACAATCAAGGAACACCGAGCCCCTCCCCAACGAAAAGGGTTTCTTCTTCAGCGCCCCGACTGTACCCTCTCTCCTCTGCCCAGGCCCGCAAGACCGTACTCAGGGCAGCGGCGTGTCGTTGAGCAGTCATCTGGCCGCTGGTTACAGCACTTAGCCACGCGTGAGCTTCCAATACCCATTTTCAAAACTTAACGTTTCCGATCGGAGTCCAGAAGGACCTGTCGTTGAGGTTTCGTCTAAACCTCTCGTCATACACCCGATGACTGCGTCCAGAGCGAACCAAAGTACACAGAACATGATGGCCCCGACTTATGCGGGGAACTTGGAGGCTGTAGTCGAGGGCGTATTGCTGCGAACCTCAATTACAATGATAGGGCGTATGATATTCCGTGGGTGCGCGGGTCCGCGCACGCCACGGGTGTGTCGTAGCGGCGTGTTTTCAAGCAAGCTGGTTATTGGAATGCCTCAAGGTAAACGCTACGACATGTCAAACGCCGTCGGCAGACGTGAGCTCATGTTCAAGCGGTCGTTCGTCTCCGAACTCAAATACTACACTGACTCGGAGGTGGTGGAGCATTGGCACAAGGCTGAGATATTCGGTCACGGAGTGCGTGTCGTGGTGGGCAAGAAAAGGAACGAAAACCAGCCACACGACAATGAAGCACGCTCCGCTGCCAAGTCAAACGTGCCACTTCAAGGTATGTTAGCCAGCGTGGACCCCAAACATTAATTTCTTGTAACATATGCGGTGCAACCGAGGTGGCGCAACCAATGTGGTGCAATCTAGCTGATGCAACACATGAAGCGCAATCTACGCGGTACAATGCAATGCACAGCAATGCAAATCGATGCACAGCAATGCAAAGCAATGCAAAGCAATGCATCGCGGTGTACCGAAATGCACAGAAACGCACAGCAATACAGAGCCATGTAAATAGATACATTGCAGTGCATAGCAGTGCGTTGCAGTGCGCAGTGCGAAACAATGCAAAAAGGTATAAAGCAATGCACAGCACTGCAAAGCAAATCAAAGCAATTCAAAGCAATACAAACCATGCAAAGCAATGCAACACATTGCAAAGCAACCATAGCAGCGTGAAGCAATGCAAAGCATTGCAACGCGATGTAAAGCAATGCATAGCAATGCAGTGCAAAACAATGCAAACCAACGCATGACACAAGCATGCACAGAAATTTGGAGCAACGCCGAGTAACGCAATGCAAAGACATGCAACACAACGCAACACAATGCAGACTATGTGACGCAATGCAAATCAAAGCAATGCGAAGCAATGCCATGCAATGCAACGTAATGCAAATCAATACAAAGCAATGCGACAGCAATGCGATTGCAATGCGACTACACTGCAGTCCAATGCGACTGCACTGCAATACTGTGGCAGGCGCAGTGGATTGCGCTGCACTGCACAGTGCGAGCAGGATGCAACAAGGGGGGTGCAACGGGGCGGCAGCCACGGGCGGGAAACGGGGCGCAAGCGGGCCTGAGAGAGGGAGAGAGAGAGAGAGAGAGAGAGAGAGAGAAAAAAAAAAAAGAGAGAGAGAGAGAGAACGTGCACAAGCAGTGATAGCAGCAAAAGCACCAGATGGAGCAGTGAAAGACCGAGCCACGGGAGACGACGCCCCGAGGCCGCCACTCATCCATGAGAGACATGAGGCTCGTCTGCGTGTAGTCCGCCAGCCCCCATCCCGGGAGGCAGTCGAGAAGCGCGCTTGGATGGCAAGCCCGTGGGGCGCTCGTCTCTCAGAGGGGATCTCCCGCACTGGACAGGGCCTCTGGAGACCCAGGAAGCTGGGACGTGAGACGAGAGGGTGTATTGCAGCACCGCTGATGCATCCCGGGATTACGGTGCTCCTCCTCCTCCTCCTCCTCCTCCTCCTCCCTCCTCCTCCCCCTCCTCCCCTGGGCGGGTTGAGCAAGCTGTCTCCCGTGCGGCGCTCGATCACTGCTCCGGTGACGGTGGGCAGCTGGGCCGACGGCACTCCGCCGCAAGGCATCTCGGCTAGCACCTGGCCGCACAACGCAGGAGCGAGCGAGCCGTCGAGAGTCGAGGAGCTTCCGCTGCGCCGCTCGGAGGCGGAGGAGGAGGGCGAGATGAGAGGGAGGAGATGGTACGATACGATACGAGGGCCGTGCATCCACGAAGGACGCGTGGGCAGAATTCCACGCTCCAGGCCTCCGTGGAGGGAGGCGGGGGGAGGGGAAGGGGATGAAAGGCGTGCGCCCAGGAAGGGAGGAAAGGGGAGGAGGATTTCTTTTTTTTTCCAGCGCACGATATTCGTTTTGTCTTGTTCCCAGAGCGAGATGACACCACAGATGAGGAAAAAGACGAATCTCAAATGCAACCTCTTTGTTGCACCGTGCCGAGCACTCCATTGACGGAGGAAGAGCGAGGAAGGGGAGGAGGATTTCTGTTCAGGGCTCCGCGCTTCAGGCCTCCACGTCCCCGAGAGAGGAATCCAACTCGCCGCTGCGGACGGGGAAGCAGCGAGCAAGCACTGGTCCCCTGGTCAGAGCTGTCGGAAGAATGCACGTACGTGCCCTTCACAGGACCCCGGTACACTCGTCGCGCCGTTGGCCACGTACACAGCCGAGCAAAAATGCACGTCCACGCTCTCTACCAGACCTGGTGCACCCGTCGCGCAGTTGGCGACGTACACAGCCGAGCGAAGCGTCAATTGGCGGCAAGCGCGGGGGAGAAATGAGAAAGGGCAGGCCTTCTCAGAAGGCTCGGAAGTCCCCAGGCCTTCCGAGAAGTTTTCTAAGCCTAAGCCTTCCCCGAAGACAGAGAAAACTTCTCAGAAGGCGCGAGGGCTTCTGAGAAGCCCGACCGCCTTCTGAGAAGGCCTTCCCCTTCTCACTTCCCCCCCGCGCTCGCCGCCGAGTCAAGGGGAGGAGGAAACTCTGAATTCAGCACGCGGCGCGCCCCTCGTGCAGGGGGCAAGCCCTGCAGGCGAGGAGACGGCGGAGATGGCGCGACCGCTGGAGCCAGGGCGCCGAACGCACGACCGACAGACCGAAACGGGCCGAGCGAAGCGGGAGGGGAAGGGGCGAGGACGGGGGGAGGGGACCTGGGTTAGGTCGGGCCTGTCCCCCATACAAGGGGATGTTCGACGACAAATCAAAAAATACCCCAAAAAGTGCCCCAAGGTGATCAAAACATACTCCAAAAATAGTCCCCGTCTGGACCATTCTGGGGGTATGTCTTCTAGTTTTCGTCGAGAATCCCCCCCTGGCCCCACCTACGACCTGGGGGGGGCAGGGACGACCAGCAGGACGAGCCACGCCTCGCTCTGCCAGCCCCCCCCTCCCCCCCCCCTCCTCCTCCTCCTCCTCCTCCTCCTCCTCCTCCTCCTCCTCCTCCTCCTCCTCCTCCTCCTCCTCCTCCTCCTCCTCCTCCTCCTCCTCCTCCTCCTCCTCCTCCTCCTCATCCTCCTCCTCCTCCTCCTCCTCCTCCTCCTCCTCCTCCTCCTCCTCCTCCTCCTCCTCCTCCTCTCCTCCTCCTCCTCCTCCTCCTCCTCCTCCTCCTCCTCCTCCTCCTCTCCTCCTCCTCCTCCTCCTCCTCCTCCTCCTCCTCCTCCTCCTCCTCCTCCTCCTCCTCCTCCCCCCCCCCTTCCCCGCCGCGGGCAGGCGCGGCGCCCGCGCCGGCCGCGCGACGCGGGCCGAGGGGGGGCTTCGGGGGCAGGGGCAGGGGCTCGGACCCGTGGAGGCCCCCAAACGGGGGCCCTCTGGAGAGCGCGGAGGGCCCCTGGGGGCCTCTGGGGGCCCAGAAGAAGCGAGACACGCCCCAGAGACCTCGACGACGACGACGACGACGACGACGACGACGACGACGACGACGACGACGACGACCACGACCACGACCACGACCACGACGACGACGACCACGACCACGACCATGATCACGGACACGATCACGATCACGATCATGACGACGACGACGACGACGACGACGACGACGACGACGACGACGACGACAACAACGACGACGATCACGACCACGGCCACGATCACGACGACGACCACGACCACGAACACGATCACAACGACGACCACGACCACCACCACGTCGACGACGTTGACGACGACCACGATGACGACGACGACGACGACCACGACGACGACCACGATCACGACCACGACCACGACGACGATCACGACGACGACAACGACGACCACAACGACGACGACCACAACGACGACGACAACGACGACGACCACGACTACGACCACGACCACGACCACGACCACGATCACGACGAGGACGACGGCGACATTGACGACGACGGCAACGACGACGACGACGGCGACAACGACGACGGAGTGAGGGAAGGGGAGGGGCCTCCGGGGGCCTCACACGCTCTCACTCCATACCCCCCGCACCCCTGTGTGCACTGGGACCCAGCCGCCCAAGTCGCCCGCGCTTCCCCGCTTCCGTCACCTCCTGGCCTTTGCGCCCCTCCGACCCCATCGTGCGAGCCGCCCTGGTTGGGCCACCGGGGTCGAATGACCGCACAGCTCATCGACGACTCATTGGTAATGCATCGGCAACGTCGAGATGGAGAAGGTAAGGCTCAGGATCGCGCTCGCCGATGCGTCGGCGATGCGGCGCGGTCATCCGACCCCATCAACTCTGGCCATACCTGGGCACCATGGACCCTATCCGCCTCCTGCTGCTCGTCCTCCTCCTCCTCCTCCTCCTCCTGCTCCTGCTCCTGCTCCTCCTCCTCCTCCTCCTCCTCCTCCTCCTCCTCCTCCTCCTCCTCCCTCCTCCTCCTGATCGTCATAATCATCATCAGCAGCATCATCATCAGCAGAAGGAGCAGCATCAGTCCCCTTCTGCTCCTGGTGTTCGTCATCCTCCTCGTCATCCTCCTCCTCCTCCCCCTCCTCCTCCTCATCACCATCAGAATCCTCATCCTCATCCTCATCGCCATAATCAGAATCATTATACTTGCCATCATCATCAGCATCACCAACAGCAGCAGAAACATCATCATCGCCACCACTGTCATCAATATCATCATCGTCAGCATCATTATCATCATCATCATCATCATCATCAGCAGCAGCAGCATCATCATCATCATCGTCATCGTCATCGTCATCACCATCAGTAGTTATAATCATCATCAGCATAATCACCATCAGTATTTATCATCATCATCAGCAGCAGCATCATCATCATCACCATCTGCATCATTATCATCATCATCATCATCATCATCATCATCATCAGCATCATCATCATCATCATCCTAATCATCACCATCACCATCATCACCAGATCATCATCATATCATCACCAGCATCGTTGTCATCGTTGTCATCGTCAATCATTATCGTCATCATCATCCTCATGTTTTTTTGTTAGGGGACCGTCTGAAAGTTCGCTCGCTTTGCCAAGTCACCATACGGTGACGGTGACAAGAATTTACAGTGGCTCCAGACTCGGTCTTAAACAGCCGGTGCGTGTGACAGCCTTTTTTGCCAACCACGCTGCCGAACTCCGCTGCCCCTCATGGGGGCTATCAGCACACCCGTCGAAGCACACTGCCGCGGGCACGTACCACCCAAAGCTCGGAATCGGCGACGCAATACTTTGAAAGCCCGGCCGTGTAGACGTCACAACATTCAGGGAGGAGGACGAGGAAAAGGAGGAGGAAAAAGTAGAAAGAAAGGCAAGATCGCTGGACGGTCGGAGAGAAGGGACGATTAGTTAACATCCCTGGTGCCGGGGAAGGAGGCCTTTGCCAAATGGCAACGGTTCGCATGCACGCGCGCCCTCGCCTCGCACCAGCTATCCGCAAGCAGAATGCTGTCAGAAAATTGGGCGCAAGCGTTCGCCCAAACATGAAAACGAGTATTGATGTAAGGTTGAAGCTCAAATGTGCCGCCCCGCCCCAACACCCTCTGGCGCGGTGGGCACGCAGGCCGTGAAATGGCATATCGAAGGACCCCGGAGCCTGTGGGCCCTGAGGTCGGCCGATCGCGGTCGCAAGGCCGTGAACGTGCGCCGCGCGCGCATGCAACTGGCGAAAATCGCCAAGTCCCTGGCAAGGGGGGACCAGAAGGGAGAGGAAGGGAGTCGCCCAATCAAATGTGGCGCGAACCTGGCTCGATACAACTCCGCCGAGCTGGCCTGGAAGGCAGACGTTGGGACTCCCAGGGGTCAGCCTGCCGACAGCAGCGCGCCGACGGCTCCAGCTGGCTCTCTCCAGCCGGCGAGCACTGCAAGACTCTGCGGCTCCACAGGAGAAAGGGCAAGGGATGGAGGGAGGGACACCGAATGCGGACGACGGAGCGAAGGAAGGCAAAATGGGAGGCGGCCTGTCCGAAGCGGCGCGCCCGCGGCTCCAGCTGGTGCCCTCCAGCCGGCCGGGACCGCACGAATCGGCGGCTCAACGGGGGAAGGGGGAGGGATGGAGGGGCACCGGCGGCGGACGACGGAGGGGAGGTGGGAGCAGGGGAACGCTCTGCCAACAGCGGCGCACCCACAGTTCCAGCCGGCACGCACCCGCTGGCCAGGACTGCAAGATCCAGCGGCTCCACGGGGGAAGGGGAAGGTGAAGGGACCCTGGGACACACAAATACATGCACACAAATGACAGGATTCCCCATATTTTCCCATATGTTCTGGGTGTTTGTTTCCCCGCCACTTCCCATATTTTCCCATATTTTCCTCGGGGTCGACGATTAATTGTGACTGTGTGTTTTTCCCCTCCGGAAAAGAGAGGGAGGGGGGAGGGACACCGGCGGCCGACGACGGAGGAGAGGAAGAAAAAGCAGAAGTGGCCTGTCCAAAACGGCGCGCCCACGGCTCAAGCTGGCACCCTCCAGCCAGCCACTCTGGAGGCAAGAGCCTGCGGCACCACGGAGGAAGGGGGAGGGAAGGAGGGCCGCCGACGGCGAACGACGGACGGGAGGAAGGAGGGGAAACGGCCTGCCAACAGCGGCAGACCCACGCCTCCAGGTGGAACCGACCGAGCAGGCGAAGCAAAATCGCGAATGCATGAAAAATGTGGTCTCTCGGCATTCTCCCGTGGACACCCAGACCTGTAGCCACCCAACCTGCCTGCCCCTGCCCCCTCGCCATTTTGTCCCCGTTCCCCCGCCACGCGCCCAGTGTCCCGCATTTCCCCTCCTCCTCCTCCTCCTCCCCCTCCTCCTCCTCCTCCTCCTCCTCCTCCTCCTCTCCTCCTCCCTCCTCCTCCTCCCTCCTCCTCCTCCCTCCTCCTCCTCCGCCTCCTCCTCCTCCTCCTCCTCCTCCTCCTCCTCCTCCTCCTCCTCCTCCTCCTCCTCCTCACCCCCCTCTCACACGAACACTGCCCTTCGCTGCCAGCCGCCATCCTATTCCTCTCGGCCTGTCACTCCAACCCACCCCCGCGTTCAGTCTGCCCCCCCTGCCTCCTCGCTCGTCTGGCACGGCTACCCCCCTGTCTGGTTGCCCCCTTCCCCTTCCCCTTCCCCCCACCCCTCACTCCCCCATCGACAATTATTCAATATGAATACTACTCTCCCTCTTCCACCCGATGGCGGCCTGAAAGTAGCCGACCCCCCCCCCGCGTACTGTTTTTTTACACACAGGATTCCCGGGAGTTGGGTTTTCGCCTGCGTTTTTTTTCAAAATGCTGCTCTCGCTGAGGCGCCGGCCTCATTTCTGCTCCCGAATCGTTCCGAATCGTGCTCCCGCTGCAGCGTGGGCCTCATTTTCGGATCGGTGTTTGGCCTCCGTCGTTCAGGATGGCGTTCTCGCCCCAGCGCGGGCCTCTTTCTCGCGCGCCCATCCGCCCGCCACCACCGCGCCGCACCACCACCACCACCACCACCACCACCACCACCACCACCACCACCACCACCACCACCACCACCACTACCACCACCACCACCACCACCACCACCACCACCACCACGACAACCACGCACACACGCACGCACGCACGCACGCACGCGCACCACCACCCACTACGCACGCGCGCGCGGAGCCACAGGTCCGCTACGACACGCGTCCGCGGATAGAGAAAATCAGCGCCATGGTAAGGGATGGGAGGGAGGGGTAGGACGTCAGATATGACGCGAGCGCACCTCGCTTGCCCCCCCCCCTCCCCTCGCACCCCCCCCGCCTCCCCTCCCCCGTCTTTCCTTCCCTGCCCCCTCGCCGAAAGATGGCGGACCTCTCGGAGGTCCGGCGTCCCGACGTCTTTAGACTCTGGAGGTGCTCTGAGGTCCCAGAGGCCGGTGGATGGTCTGCAAGAGGTCTGCGGAAGGGAGGGGGAGGATGAGGAAAGTCTGGCACGGAGGGACGAGGGGCGGCATCACGAGGAGGATACAGACACATTTTGCGACGCCGACGTCCAGGCTGAGTAATCCTTTCCTTGTGATCGGTCGCGAAATCTTCGGGGGACGGCATCGGTCGGATAAGACGAGGGTGCATACTCGACCACGTCAAGAAAATCTGTGCTCCACAGCCTAAAAGGCGGCGAAACCAATGGCACTGCGACCTTCTCAATCCTAGAGGATAGGGGAGAAGAGGGGAACAAGAAGGCAGCCTCCACTAATGCCTGTGACTCCTAAACTCCTGCCCACAGTGGCCGCCAGGCAGGGAGACCCTAGGATAAAAACCAAACCGAGCCCCGGGAAAGGGTCGGGAGATCCGGAGGCCACGTATTGAAAACTCACGGCGCCAGAGGCATGAAGGGATGGACGAGGACAAGGAGAGCTGGAGAGGAAGGAAAAGGATCAAGGGAGGAGGAGGAGGAGGAGGAGGAGGAGGAGGAGGAGGGCAAGGACGAGAAGCAACGAGGAACAAGTCCGTACAAGGAGGAGGTCCCGAAACAAGCTCTGATCTCGGCGCGGAGTGGCACGGCAGGTTGCGCACGAGCAACGTGGTGCGCCACTCGCGCGGCTGCCTGGGGTCGGCGAAGGAGAGGCCGAAGTGCGCGCTGTGGTTGCCGACTGGCTGGGTGAGGTCCTCCCGAGAGAAAAAAACATGCGGCGCAATCCGCAGTCGCCGACCCCCTCCCCCAGGACAACGAGGTTCCTGATACTCCTTGTCCTCCTGATGCTCCTCGCCCTCGTCCTCCTCCTCCGCGCCCCCCTCCTCCTCCGCATCCCCCTCCTCCTCCCCATCCCCCTCCTCCTCCGTCTCCTCCTCCTCCTCCTCCTCCTGCACCTTCTCCTTCTCATTAAACTGCTCCTTCCCCTTCTCCTTCTCCTTGTCCTCCTCCTCATCCTCCTCTTCCTCCCCCGCCTCCTCGTCCACCTCCTCATCCTCCACCTCCACCTCCTGTCCCCTCACCATCCTTCTCCTCACCCTGCATCCTCGTCTCGCGCATCGTCTCGTGCGTCCTCCTCCTCCTGTACCTCATCCTCGTCTCGTGCATTTTCTGTCGAGCCGCCAGGGATCTGAGGACCTGGGAGGCGCTCGAACGTGACTTCTTCCAGGCGGCCCAAGCCGTGGCTACGGTGCCACCCACGGAGGCCAAAAACCTCGACGATCGATCCTCGACTCTCTACGGCGACGACGACGACGACGACGGCGACGACGGCGACGACGACGACAACGACGACGACGACCACGACGACGACAACGACGACGACGACGACGACGACGATAACGACGACGGCGACGACGACGACGACGACGACGGCGGCGGCGGCGACGGCTGCGGCGGCGGCGGCGACAGCGGCGACAGCGGCGGCGGCGACGAAGGCGACGGCGTGGGCGGCGACCGCCGGCGGGGACTCCTGCTTCCTCTGGGGAGACGCGAACTGGCTGCACTGGGACTTCGCCTGTGGGGACCCATCCCACAACGGGGCCCAAAGAGCAGGCGCCGGCGGCGCGCATAGTTCTGAGGCTGCCATGGGGTGGCTCTACCTCGAGGTGCCCCCAGCTTGTCGCGTCATTTTGTCCCCACCTTCAGAGGCCTCCTGATGGGGTCCGAATAGATGGGGCTGGAGGACCGGGCCGATGCATCACCGATAAATCGACGATGCATTGACGATGCATCGGCGACGTCAGCGATGCGTCGGCGACGTCGGCGTGAAGAAAATCACGCCTCCACATCGAGCCGCATCGCTGATGCATCGGCTATTCAGAGCGATCCTTAGACCCCATCTACTCCGATCACACCCAAGAGACCTAGAACCTTGGGTAAGACGCAGCCAGGACCTGAACAACGTCGGACCTGGACTGATCGGGGATCCCTGAGATCCAGCTGTTCTGAGAGATGTATAGGGCACCGCGGTCGTTCCAAAGCGCTCCGGAACGTTTTATCTGGGGGAACCAGAGGTACAGGTGCCGCTTCTCCCCAGACCTCCACGCGGCGGCTTCTGACGAGAATTTCGAAACGGATCCAGCGGTGCCGACGAGGGCCCCGTCTGCGTCTTCGGAAAAAGTTTAGAAAGTTTCTCCTAAGGCCAGAGGCCTTCCGAGCCTTCTGAGAAGGCTCGCCCCGCCTGCATTCCCCACTAGGATCGCCGCCGAGGAAGAGCAGCAACAGCTGCAATAAAAAACATCACTGCCATGCGAGGCGGGGATTTATCCAGATCCACCGGCTGGAAACCGACGTCCTGGTGCCCCAGCGGGCGGTGGATATAGATATCTCTCGGCCCCCGGGAGCCCGAATATGTCCATTTCCACCGCCTGCCGAGGCTTCGAAAACTGACCATCAATGCGGTGGATCTGGAT